ACGTTTCTGAGCTTTAAGAAATTTCCAGAGAAAACGACACCCCAAAGGTGAAAAAATTCACAAAAGACATTTCACACGTTTTGTGGGTTTTTGCTTTCGCACGTCCCGAGGTGGAACAGCTAAGAAACGTCTCAGAAAATAACTCCGTTTCAATAAATTTTTGGCAAAAACGTAGCAGCAATATATTTTTCATTATTTACTATTTTAGAAAAACAGATTTAATCGTTGATATAAAATTCCGTTATATAATCACTCAGATTATCTCCGATCTGTCTGTTATCGCTGTCTGCGATATGCACTGACCCCACTGTTTATGGCATTAGCGAGACAATCAAAAACTTTAGATATGAATTGCTCTGGTTAAATCAACGATCTTTCTCAATATTACGCTTTACTAAATTCACTAATTTTCGTGGTCCGCTTGACCAATTAATATCTTTCAATTAATTAAGTATTTTTATTTGAGATAAAAAAGACAGTGTCACGAGTGGGATTCGAACCCACGACCTTCGTGTCCAAATGGCCAATAGGAGGGAAAATTCAAAAAGGTGAGGTTGAGATGGGAAGTTAGTGTCCGAGTGGATCGAAGTCACGATAGCTCAAGTGGTATAGTAGCGGCTTATCTAGGTTCGAATCCCGCTCGTGACACTGATTTTTTTTATCTCAACTAAAAAATTAATTGAAAGAATTTTTGCCCTCTGCGAACGTCCTAATACATCTAAACACCAAGCCATTAAACAAACAAAGTAAAAATTTAAACATCATGGGGCTACAATGATCAATCAACATAATAATTTTTTCATGTTTATTGTGTAAATACATAAGTAAAATATAATAATTATTATTATTTGGAGATCGTGATTTCGGTCTGGTGTGACGTAGGTTTTTAGAAAAACATTTCAACCAGCCAACGTTTCGAGCTTTATTGAGATCATCTTCAGGGATCAGAGTGTTTGTTTTCCATGAAGATGTGTCATTATTGTGTGTCGTTTTGAGAGTGAAACTAGACTCACACAGCATTTTAGACGTACAAAAACCTTAGTGTCGAGTGAGCAAACAAACCTTGTACGCCTCTCCGAGATACGATGGTTCTTAAAAATACGTTGCGAGCAAATGTACCTCAATTTTGTACCCTGGAAACCTAATTTTAACGATAATGTTAATGTTCCTTATGGAACTCAAAAATAAAGGAAGATGTTTTTCACTTTGTGGCTGAGCGCTCGATTTTGCCAGAACATCGCCTTCTGCATCTGGGTGTTCCACGTTGTATTTGTCTAGACTTTAGACGAAGTAAGGAATTGTGTGTTGTAAAATGTGTGGTGTTTAGTGAAAAATTAGTTAATGATAATTTGGAGATCGTGCGATGTGAGTACAAATACTTTAACTGAATCTAAAAGCATCGTATAAATTCATTTTTTCACATCCTATGTAATCCTTTGTATAATTTAAACCATGTTTATAAATCCCAGGCTCTGAAGATGATCTCAATAAAGATCGAAACGTCGGCACGATAAAAAAATGGTTTTCTAAAATCTACGTCGCACCAGAGCGCATCTCACGATCTCCAAATAATCATTGGCTAACGGTCACTAAACACCACGCATATAACAATTATTTTACCTTAATCTCTAAAACGTTTTATGATTTTATTAAAATCTTGTTTTAAACACTTCTGACATGTAACATTGTGAGTAGACAATGAAATGAAGGTTTTAATCGTTCTTATGTTACATCGTCTCTGTTATCTTGCATATCATTGTTTATATTTGTTATTAAGTATTCCACGAAAGGATTTAAAGTAGAACTGAGATATAATATTTCATTTGGACAATTTTCGTCTGAGAGCTTTTTGCATTTTTTAACTCTTCTAACCAATTCCAAGGTTTGGGAAAAAATGCATCTGATTTTCTTAAAAACTGCACAATTCTACAAATAAAAAATCCAAATATATCTATGTTTTTCGTTATTGTAGTCCTTCTTTTTGTTGGTATAGATCAAATTTCTTAAAATTTAAATCAAAATACGTAAGTAGAGGGAAAAAAGGAACCCAGAATATACTTGAAGATATATACATAGATACATAAATAGATTAATGAATGTAAAGAAAAAGGAGATAAATCGATAGATAGATAGGGATGAAAAATGATTACATAAAGGCAAAAAGAGAAAGAGAAGAACATTGAAAGAAAAGAAAGAGGATGAAAGAACGTGAGAATTGCATAAAATGTACAAATGTTATTAGAAAATTAGGTTAGACGTTTTTAAATTTCCTTCACAAGGTTTTTCATAAATTACAATTAATCAAGGATTAACTTTATATTTATTTCTTAACAATTGAAATGTAGAGATAATCGGATAACCTGAGTTGTCACAAATATTAATAATTAATATCTTTCAATTAATTAAGGCTTTTAGTTGAGATGAAAAAAATCAATGGCACGAGCGGGATTCGAACCCACGATCTTCGCCTAGATACGCCGCTGCTCTACCACTTGAGCTATCGTGACCTCGATCCACTCGGACATCAACTTCCTATCTCAACCCCACCTTATGAGTTTTCCCTCCTTTTTGCCATTTTTCATCAACTAAAAATCGTTCAAAATCCACTTATTCAGAAGGGAAAACAATAAATCTAGGGTTTTCTGTTTGAAAAGAAAGAGTTGAATACTTGGGAAGGAAGTAATTGTTCATTAAAGTAATAAGAATTGCAAATCAACGGCATCTGGATTTTTAATAAACACTATATCGTAGAGAAAGAAAATGAAGTTTAGAGAGTCCACAGGTGATTTAAATATCACTTCCTACGCATTTTTCTTTCTTGTTTTTCTTTTCGGTCACCCATCTGTTAGGAGTGTTAATTGGGCAATCAGACGTCTTCATAACGATGCGATCATGGGCCAGACGTAACGGTGGTAGCAATGAGCCCTGTAGAAGGTGCAGATTGGCCTGAGATTCCTCCCGAACGTCAGTCCATAAACATAATTCCTTTCTCATTAGGAGCAATCATGGGTTTTTGTTCGGTTCGATTTCCAATGCCCGATTCCTACGCACCTGGACTTCGAATAATCTCGGATTTTCGAAAGAGGTAATAAGTACAGGAGAAAAACAGCAATTACGTAAGAAATAAATACATTCTTTAAAAAAAGTAACAAATTGCAGACGAGTATGATTTTAAAATAAAATGAATTATAAAAACGTCTAATATTCTAATAACATTTTTATATTTTACGCAAATATTATAACTGGTGGAATTTTTTCGCATTTATTAGAAGAATTCTTAAGCCTCAGAATATTTTTCACCCAGTCCAAAAACAGGATTTAATCTGCTAAACGCTACAAAGTGGTTAACGGTTAATCTCTTTTGATCTGGCATTTCTCTATACTCTGAAAATGTATTTCGCGTTTGTACAAAAATTCTTGCTACATTTGAAAAATGGCAAAAAGGAGGGAAAACTCAAAAGGTGGGGTTGAGATAGGAAGTTGGTGTACAAGTGGATCGAGGTGATTGATAGGTCAAGTGGTAGAGCAGCGGCGTATCAAGCCGAAGATCGTGGGTTCGAATCCCGCTCGTGCCACTGACTTTTTTATCTCAACTAAAAACCTTAATTAATTGCAATTCTTTCTACCCTTAACTTGACATTCTAAAATATCAGCGCTCGAAATTTTCTAAGTTAACATAGGTTATCTTTTTGAAAATTACGTTCTTTCTGAATCTCCGCCTCTTCAATATATCCACAATTAACCTGCTTATTTCTTCTATCTTCTATCCGCTATGGCTGCATATTAGCATATAGAATGTTTGAACATGATAAGTATTTTGGACATGTGCTACACAGTGAACTTTTCCATTCCACTTCTCTATTTAGCAGGATAATTTAGAATAAGCAACTCACATGGTTAAGTTAATAACATTATTATTGATAATTGGCAATTACTATTGTAATTATTGTTAGCAAATTATTACCCAGTCAATTCGCTCTCTCTCCCTCTCTGTCTGTTTGTCTGTCTCTCTCCTCTCTCTCTCTCTCTCTCTCTCTCTCTCTCTCTCTCTCTCTCTCTCTCTCTCTCTTGATTTTAATGTCTAACATTTATCGTCAGTCATATAGTTTTTTTAATACTTCATAATGTCAGGTTTTGCTTGCTTTTCAGTCATTGGGAATGCGAAGCCAGTCCTTTATACTTGAAAAGTCTAATTTAACACACCAGGCCAGTGGACAATGGGGTTCCATTTATACTCACCGGATGAAAAAATACTTTTAAACTGGTTGAATAAGTATATCGAAAAATTTATCTGTACGCTTTTCGTTAGGCTTAATTTCAATTTCCACATTGTGAACCATACTGTTAATTCATTAGTTAAGGTTTTCATTTATCGAGGGGTCAGAGTTACACGGAAGAATCGCTGTATCATCAGTGAATGTTAACATGTGTAGGAACATCTGTTGTGTATATTGAAAATAGTAATGGTCCAGGTATGCTTACCTGATGAACATCCGACGTAAATATCTCGAATCCAATTGAGATTCAGATATTGCACAAAAAGGACTTTTTATTCCTATTTGACATGTGGGATTAACACCTGAAATATAGATGTCTGTAGGGGTAACCAGTGAATGTTAAAAACTAAAGAAATGGACTGTATTACATCTAAATTTTATTTTGGGTTTATATGTCTATTAAACTAAAATAGAATTCATTTCTGTTATCATTAATTTATAAGAAATAGTTATTTTATTCTTAGAGGAACTGTTCGAGTTATTGTCAGATCAAGGAAATCTTGTTGAGATTTCAATAACGTTATTATCAATCCTTATATCTGCCTTGGCTATTTATAGCAAGTGGTCGAAATTATACCAAGACCAATACTAACAAGGAATATAATGGATACTTTCCTGCCTACGAGGGAGGGTCTAAAACGGACATATCTCCAAGTAGGAATTTGCCCCTCCCCTGGGGCAATTCAGTTGTGAGGGTAGTGGGACCTACTTATCAGGGTTAGATTTCAATTTGGTTTAGTAAATTGGCTCAATCACCGCTTCCTTTCCTGCATTGGTCAATTTAAACGGCTTCCGGCCCGTTTTCCTTTGTCCGTGCCGAATCGTTGGCAACAATTGTTTTACATATTTAATCAACTAGATTAAATAATCGATAAACCTCGAGTAGAAGGGATTGGCCTTCGAGCACAACTGTCGTATTGGTGGAAACGTGGACATTTATTAAAAAAGGAGGTCGACACTTCTTTAAAAATATTACATATCGGTCTCATTCAGTATTTTTTAAGATGAGTACGTTCGTTTGTGTCATCATCGCAACTTTTGTAAGTAGCTGTTTGGATTTGATTTTTACGTTTTTAATCATTTCTTTGTTTAACGTATGTTATAACGTCATTTGTTTGTCATTTGCCCATCATTTTTTCACCATTAATTAATTTAATTATTTAAAATATCTATAGTTTTGCTAATTTTTTACTTTATCAATAATGAAAAGCGATAAGTAAAACGAAAAAATATTTAACAATACATAATACAATAAAAAACATTAAAAGCACACATTGATTAAAATTTCTGGTTGTCAGAGAAATCTAATTCTCTACACTTCCTTTTATGTATTTAATTATTGTTTGCATAAATAATGGCTATATGGATAATAGCTAAATAGTGTTTTATTATTACTTCTGCACCACGGTATAATGTATCACTTATATGTTAAAAGCGAGAACAGGCGATCCGCCAATCTTTATCCTCTTATTAAATAAGTTAATGATGCCACACATAACTCGTTGATCCATACTTTTGCTATTATTGACTTATTTTTGAATAAACTAATTTCTTTATTTCTGTGTGCTATATAAATTATGTAATGAGATATTTATTCATACTACCACAGTAATAACAGTTGTATACTTCTGCTCAAACATTGTGTCAAAAAATAAATTAAGGTTTTAAGTTGAGATAAAAAAGTCAGTGTCACGAGCGGGATTCGAACCCACGACCTTCGCTACTCTACCACTTGAGCTATCGTGACTTCGATCCCCTCCGGCACAACCTCCCCCACCTTTTGAATTTTCCCTCCTTTTTGCCATTTTTCAAGTGGTCAAGCGGACCTCGAAAGATAGTGAATTGTGTCAAAATTTCAAGTCAATCGACCGGCTACTTTTCATGGTATGCAAGCCGAAATATAATCCAATTTTCATATATATAATGATAATATGTATAATCATATGAATGAATCAAAAGAAGTATAAACCATAATGTAAATAATATTTTCAACATCTGTGGACCATCAATTCCTAATTATTTTGTCTTTGATTACGTATTCAATTTGATTAATTTATAAACTTTATCTATATTCCCCAATTTTCTCTTTTTTATCTGTCTTATCTTATCTTTAGCTCTCTGCTTGCCTATATTCTATCTGTCCCTCTCTTTCTCTCTTTCTCTCTCTCTCTCTCTCTCTCTCTCTCACTTTCACTTTATCTATATTCCCCAATTTTCTCTTTTTTATCTGACATCTTTTCTTTAGCTCTCTGCCTGTCTATATCCTATCTGTCCCTGTCCCTCTCTCTCTCTCTCTCTCTCTCTCTCTCTCTCTCTCTCTCTTTCACTTTCACTTTCACTTTATCTATATTCGCCAATTTTCTCTTTTTTATCTGACTTATCTTATCTTTAGCTCTCTGCCTGTCTATATCCTATCTGTCCCTGTCCCTCTCTCTCTCTCTTTCTCTCTCTCACTCTCACTGTCTCTCTCTCTCTCTCTCTCACTTTCACTTTCACTTTATCTATATTCCCCAATTTTCTGTTTTTTACTTGCACCCTATACATATTCCTGCATTTTTCTCTTTTTCACTTTCAATCTATAATCTTTATTTGCCGATTTTTTCTCTTTTTTATCTCACTTAAGTTATCTTTAGCTCTCTGCCTGTTTATATTCTATCTGGCCCTCTCTCTCTCTCTCTCTGTCTCTCTCTCTCTGTCTCTCTCTTTCACTTTCACTTTTTCTATATTCCTCAATTTTCTCTTTTTCACTTTCACCTTATCTATATTCCTACATTTTTCTCTTTTTCACTTTCAATCTATAATCTTTAATTGCCGATTTTTTCTCTTTTTTATCTCACTTTAAGTTATTTTTCGCTCTGTGCTTGTCTACATTTTATCTCTTCCTCCCTGTCACTCTTTCTCACAATTGAACTTTAAAAACATTTTATCTCAACGGTCTACTGTGTATTGTGAGATAGCATTTATTTTTATTTTGTAAACTATTTACGTTAAAGGTATTGTGGTACAAGCGATAAATGACGTTGAAGAATAACTTTTACTCTTTTCCTACTCTAATTTCTTTCGTTTCACCTTTTTTGTTTAGAAAAGACAAATTAACATAGAAGATTTCTAAATCTTAATCAAAACACTCTCAACACGACACGCAAGAATGGCACAATTGCACAGAAGACAAACACTTTGAGCCCTGAAGATGATCTCAATAAAGATCGAAACGTTGGCACGATAAAAAAAATGTTTTTCTGAAACCTACATCACTCAGACCGCATCTCACGATTTCTGAATAATTATACTTAATCACAAAAGTAAATAATAATTTTTAATTTTAAAATAAAAGTAAATGCAGTGATTCAACATCAGTAAAATTGCACTTTGCAGCTATTCCGCAATTATTTCAAGAGCTTAAGAACTTAGAAGCTTACTTTCTCATGAACATCTCGTAACAAAAAGGCCGTTTGAAATCTTACATGTCTTAAGCGTCGTAAAGATTTGGAGATAACCTAGATTTTTAACAACCTCGACACTTAACTACTCTTCTTGTAGGACCTCGAGAAGGAATGAAATATAGACAATACTTGGAAAGCTGCAAAACGTTTGACAACTGCTAAATAAGTGTGAATATTTTATAATTGCTGTCTATTTACTTTAATAGCCGGTTGAATGTTATTGCAGCCAATGGGGAAAACGCACGAAGCATTCAAGGACTCTAACAAGCCTTGTTCATAAATAATTAGGTTAGATTATATGCCGGACTCTTCATAAATAATTACAATACAATGGAAGTTTTTCACATGTCTGATTACTCTTTTCAATGATAAATATATGTAGTCCTAAAGCAGTAATGAAAATTGTCTGACTGTAATCCGAATCCTTAATTTCTTTGTCTACAAGCTATACATTTCTATTTGTTACATATTCAATCATAAACAGGAGGAATTTATGTCTCGATTTTTTACAATATGTGATTATTTGTGTGTTATGTTTTGAAGCTCACGTGCATATCATGCTCGGACAGGCCTATAGTTGGGATATTGGCACAGGAAAGTGTCTACGAAGGGAAAAATGTTTCGATGATACCAGGATCTTACGTCCTCATGATGGAAGGATCTGGAACGAGGGTTGTGCCGATATTTATCAATCAAAACCAATCTTATTATGAGTAAGTTGTCTTGTTTTTATTAGCTTTGCAAATCAATGATTTAGAATGTTTCAGTAAGATTCTCTCTTCGATTAACGGGGTCGTGTTTCCCGGCGGAAACTTGGACCTGTTGCAGAACGGAGGCATGGTTAAAGCCGCGAACCTCATCTACGATTATGCCAGGAAGGTGAGAGATTTTTTGAAAAATGTCTTTAGTTAAACAAGACTTTTTCGCTCGAGCTGGGTTTGAAGACGTTGAACGAATATTTCCCTGAGACATTTCCTTTTGGCACGTATATAGCTACGATGTACGTTTTACCATTTCCCTTTGCCATCCCTGCGCCCAAGAGGCTTGTTTCCGCCCAGATCATCTGGGTGAAATGACGGTCTACAAAAGAATAAGTTTTCAGTTTATAGTGAGATTGAACATGGAAATACTAACTGTGGGCGTTGAAATTTTTCTGTACGTCGTATTGGTATTTTTTCCCCTCTTTGTACCAGGATTCACACGCTTCGCGGGCCTCAGTGGGTCGTTTTAACTTTGTGAAGACGAAAACGTTTCTTCCTTCGTCTTCGGCTTCATCTTGCTTTCCACTCGCTGCAAGAAAAGCGGCACGCTTCATAGCAATGAGACAGAGCTTTAGCAGAGAAGTTAACATTTTAATTATATGTATAATTTGAAAATAGTTTAATTGTGTGATTCTTACGTCTTTATCAAGTTTGAGCGAAGGAGCGTTGTGTGATAAGCGCAGTTTGTTGTGGATTGACAGCATTTCGGCTTGGAACGGTGTCATATCGACGCTCGAAGAAACGCTCTCCGGGGCTGATATGTCCACCAGATCAAACGCATTGCATGTCCGTTTCTCGTGTATCTGAAAATGATTATCTTTCAACAGGCAAACCAGAAGGAAAACGTCTTTCCGATTTTGGGAGTCTGTCAGGGACTGGAGCTCCTCGCTTATTTATCCAGCAACAAATTATGGCCTCTGAAACCTTGCAAAGGTATGATGAACGTCGACCTTCCTCTCGAGTTCGTCGTCGACTACGCGACCACATCGCTATTCAAAAATGCCAAAAAAGAAGATATTTACACCTTCATCCATAAGAATTCAACAGTGAACCATCACAGGTATTTAAGATTATCTGTCCTAACAAACGTAAATCGAATGTCATTTTAGTTGGTGTTTGACGAGAAATTCGATGAAAAAGTTTGGCCTCGATAAACATTGGCGAACCCTTACTGTCAACAAGGATTCCGATGGTATGGAGTTCATCTCCACATTCGAATCATTCAGTTATCCATTTGCTGGACTCCAGTTTCACCCGGAAAAATGCGCCTACGAATGGGGCCTTGGTCAGAACAACATGCATACCATGGATGCGATAAGTGCAAACAGGGTTTTCTACGACTGGCTTGCTGCCAAAGCTAGGGAATCGAAGAACCATTTTGAAACAGTCAAAGACGAAATGGAAGCTTCAATTTTCAACTACGTACCGACATTTACCGGGAAAAATGGTGGATACAGCCAGTTACTTTATATTTTTCATTAAAATAAAAGTTACTGTCTAATTTGTATAAATCCATCTGTATATTTGATGTCCCAAGTATTTCAGTCTTTTCAAGGAAACCGTTTTGCCCATCCTCATCGATAATTTCGTTTACAGTCGCACAATGCTCCTTATGAAAAAGGAAACGACCAAAGCGGGAATCGGCGACAATTACGGTATCGCTTTGAAGACGGCTAGAATGGAATCAGCTGCCACCGGCTATAAATCAAGGGCGCGCTAACAATGAAGACCGGTTGAACAAGTGTTGTGTCAATAGACGGAGGTTTGTTGACACAATAACCGATTTATACCTAGAGCCGGTAAGAAACCCGGGATTTAGACATAAGCCCAGGTAAGTTTGGATCTCGCACGTAACTCGGCCAAAAAGTGGTTTCCCAACGTGAGCAAAAACCGTACTGTAGAATCCGCAATATCCAACAAATTTGATTTTAATTTGCGACGAGCACCTGTTTGGAACCAGCTTGTATAAATTTTTTATTGGTTATAATCCCTCTACATCATTAGCATCATTATAAATGTACATTTTTATCAAAGCGATTTTTTCTTAAAGTTAGTTAAGGAAACAAATAATTTTTTATGACACATAATTTTACAATGTTTACATAGGAATTTCGGTTTTTACACTATAATCTCCATCGTAAAATTAATGTGTTGGGTAACATTACGACGAGGTGATGAACCTTGATCGTCATGATTATGAGCTTATTCTCGCTTGTTTTGCTTCCCAAGCGTTTCTCTCATCTTTCATGGCCAGTGTCTATTTGGTCTATTATGACTTTTCATAAGTAATGGAAAAAATTTTTATATTTGTCTGAAGAGACCACCTTTACAAGGGCGTTCAGAACCTGTCATCATGAAACGTAAAAACAAAGATATATATACAACTCAAATCTATTCACATTCAATTTTAACCAGCAAGGACTAACTAATCTGAATTCACTAGTGATCTGTGTTATAAACTCACTGTGATAAACTTTGTAAGTGGAATATAAAAGAGTCGGCTTTTTATTATTAATTAACCCAAAAGTCACATAATTTTGAAGCTTAAAGATCTCTGAACATCCTGCCTATTCTCCACTTTCTTTGGTTAGTATCTGCTTAACAATCTTAATAATTATTTCAATTAATTATTCTTCTTATAAGGTCTTGGTTGAGTTGAAGAAACTAGTGTAACGAGCGGGATTCGAACTCACGACCTTCAGTTTCTGTAGGTTGGGATGGGTAGTTGGTGGCCGAGTAGGTAGAAGTCACGATAGCTCAAGTGATTAGAGCAGCGGCGTATTTAGAAGAATATGAAAGAGCGAATTGCATCCCTGTTGAAAAAAAACATTTGGCTCTCATAGTTGTTATGTAGCAATTTCAGGACAAACACTCAAAGAATCCACCTGTCAGCCTATGCAGCCAGTACACCAGATCCTGTCTGCATAGACGGGGGAGGGTTGTATGGCCATCTGTACCACGGGGTGACAGAAATGTTCCAGAATCTGGCCCTCTGTCACATTGGGAACGGATTCGTGGTGGCGCCCCTGGCGGGAACTTAGAGAGAGGCTGTCTTCTACCTGGGACCTTTCGTGAAGCTTGCGCATGGCCAATGTATTATACCTGGTCCTCACGGGAGACGTTGCGACCGGACGACAGCATGTAAGCGTTGAGGACGTCATGATCATGCTACAGTCCCTCGAATGCGTGAGTAAGCGATTGGAAAAGGGTAGTGGTATCGGCGGTTTCTGACGAGTATGCTTTGCATTGTTGTGCGTATGACCGGCGTGGTACCCTTGGGGAAGCGAAGGATCGGACCACCTAGGCTAGACCTATGGCGTCCCTCGATTACGTGCAGCAGGTGTAGGCTGAGCTCGATAAGAGACCTTTGTCCGTAGGCAGTACTCATCTAGGGGGTGGGTAGCAATCCCACTTTTTAATCCGAAACCGCTGTCGGGGCGTTCCCGAAAGTTTCTACGCTGGAGGAGCCTCTACACTCAGAGAGATAGAGTCGCCTTCTCTATCTAGGGAGTACGCGAGGGGGGGGACGGGCTGATGTATTTCGGCCCGTTAGCCCCTTGCGTGCGGCGTACGACCTGACGCACAATGCAGGCCCGACCATTCGGAGTGGACAAGCGGAGAGCGTGGCTACTGACCCTTAGGGGCCGGGACACCACTACACCAATGCTGCGGCGGTAACACCTTCCGTCGTATGCAGAAGTGCGTCAGCTCTCATCTTGAGAATCAAAACGTCCGATAAGGCCATGAGCCAGGTGCGGACGTTAAAGATCCTCTTGTCTTGTTGACGATGAGTAAATCGGGAACGCATGTCAGCCTCTGCAGTATGCAGTGGATGTGGCAAAGATCAGGTTCAAATTTGCTTTGTTTTTCGAGACCATACCTCGATCCAGAGTGTTTGCGAAACCGTACATTGTACAGACTCGGATTGCCCGTTGGGGCTGCTGGGCCAAGAGCCCAAAACGTACAAAATAACAAAAATATTTATGCCATGGAATGCTGTTTCTTTTCCCCACCAACCATCTAAATAAAACTTACACGAATCATATCACCACAATATCGATTTTTTACGAGTGTATTTTAACTACGAGGGTATATGGATCCTTCGGGGTGCGGGTGTTTTTGACTAAAATTCCATTTGTAGGTACGTCGAGTTCGAATGCAGGGCCATTGGATTCGAACCCGGGACCTTTACCAAACAGTGATGAGCGCGGTTTCAACGCATTAACTGTTGCGTCCACCGTCGCACCTTAACCAATACATGCTTGTAAAGGTTTGTTTTGATTTTAGACATTATATGGCCGCTCGTTCTGGCTCGCTACTCGCTGATATTGATGAACAAATTTTATTCCCACCAATTTCGAAGTTCTTAATCATTCGCATAATGGACTAATGTTATGCTTCTCCAGCTGGCTGCTCGATTGGGGGGGGGGTTTAATTTTTTCTGCTACATAGCGAAAACATCGACGAATATAATTTTGTAAATATTTTGGTGAAATTAAGGATACATTACCAATAATCATCAGTGTGTAATTTTATACACTGAGAGGCAAAAAATTCCACCCAATTGATTTTTACATTTTCTCGATAAAAGAAAATTTTGCCCCTAATTTGTCTTTGTTTTTACCAATAAATATTTTTTATGCTATGTTTGAAATCGGGAATATCAATTAGAGGTAAACACACTTAATCTTTAATCTGAAACAAGTATAAAGGATTTTTCAATGTTTACTTTTTACGGAATTTAAAATGTTAATCGGTCTCATTTGAAATCTGAAGCAATAAACGTTTAGTTTTCATCTTTGTTTTCTTAATTTTTAATTTTTCAACCTTAAAAATGTAACTTAATGCTGAGGATGCCCGTAGTGCGGCACTTATTGATGATGGACGTTCCATCAGGTATGCGGCTACTGCCATCGGAGTTCCTTCCAAAACACTGCGAGACGCCGTTAGACGTTTTCGAGAAACTGAGTGTCCTACTATAGAAGGCCCGGTTCTGGACGCCACGTAACAGAACAGAACCACAGCGGTAACCGTAATAGAACCACAGGATGACCGTTTTTTGATTTTGAGAAAATTGCGAAACCGGCACCTTACAGTTGTTCAAGCGGTTCATCTGCTCCAGGAAGTTCGAGGTGTCCAAATTTTTGAACGCACTGCTCGAAAAAGATTAAATCAGTATGAACTGCTTTCTGTCCCGTAAGAGGACCAGAATTGATGAGAACACACCGAGTTGCCTGGCCCGTATTTGCTCGAGGACACAGCCGTTGGGTCTTTGGATGATTGGTCTGCTGTACTTTTTAGAGATGAATGTAGATTGGCTCAATTATCTCCAGATGGGCGTGAAAGAGTGTGGAGAAGGCGAATGAAAGGTACGAAGCTTGTAATTTTTCCCAGAGCCAACCTTTTCAACTTAGCTCAGTGATGGTGTGGGCGGGAATTTCAATGGAGAGCCGCACAGAGTTGGTTGTTTCCTGGAGGGTCTTTGACGACCTCTCGCTATGTGAATGAAATTTTGCAACATCATGCGTTGCCGATCCTCGATGAATTCAGCGACAATTCTATTCTAATGTACGATAATACCCCACACCAGGTTTTAGCCTGACCAGCCCATTTTCCAGACTTGAACCACAATGAACATTTATGGGATAACCTCAAAAGACGAATAAGTGCACGTCCATCACTTTCTGATACACTCCACGATCTTGACAGGTCTCTTCGTGAAAAATGGGCTAACCTCCAGCAAAGAGACATTTCCAGACTGGTAAAAAGTATGCGAGGCGTCGTCTTCGAGATGTAATTAAGGCAAGAAGGGGAAATACGCGATTTTGAAATGGTAATTAATAATCTAAACCAAAATTAACACAAATTTTATCTGCCAGTCTTTTTTTTCATATTACATTTTTTAAACTTTTTTCGACAAAGATTCAAAAACTTTGATCAAGTTATATTACAAGTTGGTGGTATTTTTACCTGTCAGTGTATATAAAATCGGTATTTTGCAACATGGTTTGCAATTCAATAATTATGATCTTTTTGGAGTTTAATATATTATGTGAAAAAATGAGTTCAGATGCTTCAGCTACTATACAGAATACTCACACCGACTAGTCTCTCAGGTGATTTATAATCCAACATCCTGTTTGCGACCGCTCTGGGTTTTGGGAAGTAGGACGTCGCCTGGAGAACGTCCATGTTGGCAGCGCAAAACCTCTTCATATCTGTGCTGTTCATGCGCGGCTGTTTGACAAGTTCGAAGCTCGTGTTTTTGACCGAAACGCTATCCTTCCTTTCCTGGGAGCGTGCTGTGGACTTGGTCTTGCTGTTCATCGCCATCAAACTCGGGATGCGAAACATGTCCGGTTCCGAGAGAGGGAACCTGACACGGGCTGAGATACCCTTCTTCTTTGACCGATTCATTGATGTCAACTACCGAACCGTCAAATTTTGAAGAGAAGTATTTGTTTTCTTGGTCATCTACGGCAACGAGGTAACTGTGCAAAGACATCTTCCTCGGGAATAATCTTCAAATCATATGTTATTATTGACGAAAAATACCAACATCTGCTCGGGTGGACGTCTACCGGAGATAACATAAACAGAAGCGTATTTAAACTTTACCTGGTGGCTTCAAAAACACGGTCATCACTTAGTTTGACAAAAGGGCAAACATTGTCTTTACTCCGCCAAAGAAGATAATATTTCAACAGATAAATGTAAACAAGAAGGCGCACTCGGTATTTGCTTTAAAATTCTGATTGTATAAAGAATTTGATGCATGGAGTTAACACAGGATACGTTTAATTTCTGTTCCCCATATATATTTTTGAAGAGTTTTTCGGAAAAATCCTGGGATAAGTAAATGTTTATTTTTGTCTAGTTTCTCACGATACAAAACCTTTTGATCTAACTCTGCAGGATAACGAGATAGGGATAAAATATTAAAGCTGTCCAAAATTAAAGAAATTTCCTCAAAAAACGATAAAAATCTGTATTCCTTACTTACTATATTATATTCACTAATTTCTTGGTCCGCTTGACCAATTAATAACTTACAATTAAGGTTTTCAGTTGAGATAAAAAAGTCAATGGCACGAGCGGGATTCGAACCCACGATCTTAGGCTCGATACGCCGCTGCTCTACCACTTGAGCTATCGTGACCTCGATCCACTCGGACACTAACTTCCTATCTCAACCCCACCTTTTGAAGTTTACCTTCTTTTTGCCATTTTTCATTTTAATTGTATGTTATTAATTGATCAAGCGGACCACGAAATTAGTGAATTGAATATGTTTAAAATGAAACATTAAATGCAACTTCACTAAATCTCTCCGTGGCCATTTCATTTGTCTCCGAGAATCGAATTGATTACACGACATTTGAAAAATGGCAAAAAGGAGGGAAAATTCAAAAGGTGGGGTTGAGATAGGAAGTTAGTGTCCGAGTGGATCGAGGTCACGATAGCTCAAGTGGTAGAGCAGCGGCGTATCGAGCCGAAGATCATGGGCTCGAATCCCGCTCGTGTCATTGACTTTTTTTATCTCAACTGAAAACCTTAATTAATTGTTACTATATTATATTTATCATAACAACAATAATTATTTTTTTTAGATTTATAAGTTTTATAGACTTATAATATGTCGTAAGTTGCTTACGTAGTCTTACAACACTGCATTGTTACAATTTTTGCTACTTTTAACACCATAAAATAATTACTGCACCAAACCGTAAAAAAAATCATTGTTGCACTTATTCCAAATATATTTGCGTTTTTTCTGACTTACGTATATCGCGGAATGTACGTTTCATTTCAGTGGTGAGAAGATACCAAGGACAATCCCTGAATCGAACCCAGTACTGCTTAATCGACTCTGGCACTTTAACGATCTCGGCCATCGAGGTTGAAATTGTAAATTCAGTAATAAGCAATAAAGCAATTGCAGAACCAAATCTCGCCTCTGTAATGAATCAAACGACATGTTTCTATTATGTGGGACAAATCCAGCAACATTTTTCTACATAATGGGTTCGGGTATTCGTCCAAGAATAGGTGCCCATGAGCAACCTGAAAGAATTAGTAAATTCTTATCTTACTAAGTTTGTGAAGATTTTAGAATTATTTTTGTCCTTTCTTCTATAATTTATGGCTAAATACCGATGTATAGACTAATTAGCCTCGTAGAATTAAAAAAATGATTTTCCTTCTATGTAGTACCTCATGGGGCGAACTGTCTTACTGATTGATATGACACCTTCATTACAAGAAATGGGAACTTTGTTCTTGTAGCCGTCGGCCTATTGCTTGTCAGTCTAAGAAACGGCAGGAGGCCCTGGAAATGAATATAACAAGGATCCCGGTCTGTTAACAACGCGAGCTCAGGAATTTTTAATCATTGATGAGCCAGCCCACGTTGCTGATACATATTTTTAACAAGCGGGTGAAAAAACTTTCGATATAAATTAGGTGACGAAGTTATTCCAGTTGTATCGAGCCAACTAGTTAAGACGTCATTTAAAATGCAACCGGGACGGGAAATAAAAAGAGAAATAACTCAAACCGTGATTTACTTGTCTGCCGAGTTGAAAAAGCGGAAGCCGGCGCTCATTAGAGCGGAACGGATTTCACCTCGAGCACATGCGTCTTTATGTGACCGGAGCACGCAACTGGATTCCCGCCGGAGGCAGTTTTAAAGGAAAACAAACAAAACCAAAGTGCTAACTGAGGAGGAGCCGGATCAAGATAAGTCGGATTTATGAAGGATGCCGCCCGGAGGGAGATGGGCACAATGGCAGTTGGCGGACTGTTGAACCCATTTGCTCATCCGGGAATCTCCTGGAGTAAATGTCAAGGTGAAATTGTTATACCAATAACAAATATCTTCAAGACCTAATCACTCTTCGGACGGGCTTAAGTGCTCAGAAGAATTTTTTCCTTTAGTTAGATAATACCAAAGCAAGCTGGCGAATGGCGTGGCGCACTCAACACTCAACTATAGAAACCTGTAAGCCTCGCTCCCATGTCATTCTCTGCCTACCATTCATTATCATTTATTCTATCACGTTTTTAAACGTTATCCATGATTTTAATGTTTAACGTGCCGGACACATGTGTCTTTTATAGTTGAATCACTGCTGATGCCGTTATTAGGTTCATGTACCCTGATGAGCCAGTTGAGCAAATTCCAACTTTATTTTTATAAGTCGTGTTTCAGGATTGAACACTTCAATTTCCGACATAAGTCTAAGCTGAAAAATACGGTTAAACACTTCCTATCATAATACCTTACCACGAGTTTGGATAATTCATGTCACGCGACAATTAGTATTTGTAAAAATTGTGGAAAATTGATGTAAATTTATCACAGTTCAAACTGGTTATCTGATGATGTCCCTCATTTACCCAATAATCCAGAGTGTACCCAAAGTTTGTCGATAAAAGAATGACTTCGTAAATTACTGGGCAAGTACTTTACAACGATATAGGACAAAAATCTTGCCCGAAGGAAGGCCAAATATAGAGCTGAAAGCTTGGCAATTGTACAATGCTGGATGATTTAATCACAAACCAGAGTATCTGATCATATATCTACAGTATTTTGATGTCCCCTGATTGGACCATTATGTAAGTATTTCGACATTTAACACTATCCCAATTTCCTACAACTTAAAAAGTCTAGGCAGAAAATTAAGACAAACTTTGCCACTAACACAAAAACCAGTGGTACTGGTAGTTATAGTTCACGCTATGCAAAGTGTCTAATTTATTATATAATTATTTATATTAGTTATTTATTTAGAAATCGTGAGATGCGGTCTGGTGTGACGTAGGCTTCAGAAAAACATTTTCTTTATTGAATTAAAATTATTAAAAGTATTTTATTAAATTAAATTATTAAAAGTGAATTTATACAATGCAAAATATATTTTATATAGTCAATCAAAGTGTTTCTCAAAGTGTTTGTCTTCTGTGTAATTGTGCCATTCTTGCGTATCGTGTCGAGAGTGCCAGTGAGATTTTGCTATTTTGTGTTTATATACGTTGGATTTTGAAGGGGTGGGGAAGGATGTCGATATAGAAAAGACATTATTGTATAAGGTGTCGGCTTCTTTGAGGCGAAAAGAGCCGACGAAGGGAAAAAATGTGTTGGTAATGGTTCGGCCAGATTATCCTTTCAGGATTATATAGAAAGGGATAAATAGGAAAAGGAAAGCTAAATTGTTGGGAAATTAGACTATGTGAAAAATATTTGATGTGTGGAATGTAATGTGATGATATAGGTATGTTATCTGTATTGAATTTGATTAATGATATTGGCGTAGCTGCGACTGAGTTTACATGTATCTGTTCTGTAATTGATGCTGTGTTTATCTCTGTTGATATAAACCATTTCTAAGAAATTACGTTTATGTTTGTTTTGTTCTGTGTGTAATACTTTTGGATTTTTGAAGTCGAAATTGTGTTGGTGTTCAAGATGGTGGGTAGCGAGTGCTGTAGGATTTTGCTTAGGTTTTTTGCAATCATAGATATGTTGCTTTACTCTCTTGTCCAGATATTGGGATGTAAGACCGATGTAAGTTGCCGGACAGTTTAAACAGTTGATCTTGTAGATTACGTCAGATTTATTTGTTATTGGTGTGGGATCTTTAATTTTGGAAAAAAGTGTTTGAATTGTTTTATAATTTTTGAAAGCTATTTTGAAGTTATCGGACAAGAGAAATGTGTTTAATTTATGTGATAGGCCTTGGATAAATGGTATGGAAATGTATGCTGGTTTGTTTGTATTCGATAGACTTAATGTAGTATTATTAGTAATAGTGGATGGTGTTAGTGTTGAGTTGTAATTGTTGATTATTCTGTTAATTATGTGTTTAGGGTAGAGATTGTTATGGAGGATCTGTTTGTATATCTTTATGTTTTTGTGGTGGAAGGATTCATGGCTTAAGGTCATTCATCATATCATTCTGTGAAATAACCCTTTGGCCATGTTTATTATTGTATGAAGAGGATGGTGAGACGTAAAGTTGAGGTAGCGATCTCTATTTCTTGGTTTTTGCTACCAATCTGTGATTAATGTGCCATTTGGTTGTTTTATTACGAGTGTATCTAAAAATGGTATTTTTTTGTTGTTTTCGATTTCATGTGTAAATTGTATATTAGTTACAATACATACGCTGATAATGTAGAAGATGGATGTAAATTTATCATAGTCCAAGCTGGTATTTTATGATAAGTTTTACGTTTAGTTTTCTTTTATTTCACTTTTATATTTGGATTTCTGGTGATATACCATCAGTTGTATGATGTCTCCTGATTATCCCTAGACCTCACCCACCATCTCATTATCTATTTGTCACTATTGGACATTTATGCTACCATTTTTTAATTAATGATTTTAATGTTCCATGTATCGGAAAATGGGCCTTTTATAGTAATTAGTAAAAATAACTAATGATTCCAACATTAAGTTTATGCACACTGAGGATTTTGCAATTTTTCCGTGACGTGTGTTTCTGCTTTAAACACGAAACACCACTGTAATTTCCTTATTTTCTATTGAAATAAAAAATAAAGAAATGATTTAATGAAGACTGACTGATCGTGTACAATAGCTTGATTAAATTACAACTTTTTACCTGCAGTTAATTGCTGCTCTTGTAGATTTTGATCTATCTCTCTGAGTACATTTTACTATGTCTTCTACAGAGATTATATATGAAACAAGAAAGACAGACTCCTATGATGATGTCTGTGATGAATCTTAAAATAAGTACATATATTTAGAGGTCTGATTGACCAAATAACTTCTTTCGATTAATTAATCTTTTTATGTAAGGTATTGGTAGAAATGAAAAAGTTAGGGTCACGAGCGGGATTCGAACCCACGGCCTTCGTAAAAAGAGGTAGAATGCGAAACGTAGTCGGTTGAGGTGAAGAATTGGTGTGCGAGTATGTC